ATATTTGCTGTGGGTCTTTCATAGATAGATTTTATGAAGTTCAGGGATGTTCCCTCTATCCCTATACTTTGAAGTGTTTTAATCAGGAATGGATGCTGGATTTTGTCAAATGCTTTTTCTGCATCAATTGAGAGGACCATGTGGTTCTTCTCTCTTCTCTTATTAATTTGTTCTATCACATTGATTGATTTGTGAATGTTGAACCATCCTTGTAGCACAGGAATGAATCCGACCTTGTCATGGTGGATAATCTTTTTAATGTGCTGTTGGATCCTGTTTGCTAGGATCTTGTTGAGAATCTTAGCATCCATATTCATCAGTGATATTGGTCTAAAATTCTCCTTTTTGGTAGGGTCTTTGCCTGTTTGTGGATCAAGGTAATGCTGGCTTCATAGAAAGAGTCTGGAAATTTTCCTTCTGCTTCTATTTTTTGAAACAGCTTCAGGAGAATAGGTGTTATTTCTCTGAAAGTTTGGTAGAATTCCCCAGGGAATCCGTCAGGTCCTGGGCTCTTGTTTTTTGGGAGGTTTTTGATCACTGCTTCAATCTCGTTACTCAATATAGGTCTATTCAGGTTGTCTATTTCTTCCTGGTTCAATTTTGGGAGTTTATAGTTTTCCAGGAATGCATCCATTTCATCTAGGTTGCTTAGCTTATTGGCATATAACTGTTGATAATAACTTCTGATGATTGTTTCTACTTCCTTGGTGTTACTTGTGATCTCTCCCTTTTCATTCATAATTTTATGAATTTGGGCTTTCTCTCTTTTCTTTTGGATGAGTGTGGCCAATGGTTTATCGATCTTATTGATTCTTTCAAAAAAACAGCTTCTAGTTTCATTGGTATGTTCTACTGTATCTCTGGTTTCTACCTCATTGATCTCTGCTCTAATCTTGATTATTTCCGTTCTTATGTGTGGAGTTGGTTTGATTTGTTGTTGATTCTCCAGTTCTTTAAGGTGTAGAGACAGCTGGTGTCTTCTGGATTTTTCAATTTTTTTGAGGGAAGCTTGGATGGCTATGTATTTCCCCCTTAGGACTGCCTTTGCTGTATCCCATAGGTTTTGGATCGAAGTGTCTTCATTCTCATTGGTTTCCATGAATTGTTTATGTTCTTCTTTGATCTCCTGGTTGATCCAAGCATTCTTAAGCAAGGTGGTCTTTAGCTTCCAGGTGTTTGAGTTCCTTCCGAATTTTTCCTTGTGATTGAGCTCCAGTTTCAAAGCACTGTGATCTGAGATTGTGCAGGGAAAAATCTCTGTCTTTTTGAATCAGTTGAGTCCTGATTTGTGACCCAGTATGTGGTCTATTCTTGAGAAGGTTTCATGTGCACTTGAGAAGAATGAGTATTCTGTTGTTTTAGGGTGGAATGTTCTGTATATATCTATGGGGTCCATCTGGTTTAATGTGTCATTCAATGCTCTTGTTTCTTTATTGATTTTCTGCTTTGATGATCTGTCTATTTCTGAGAGAGACGTGTTAAGATCTCCTACTATTAATGTATTCTTAACAATATGACTCTTTACTTGATTAATAATTTTCTTACGTAATTGGCATATTGGGGGCATAGATATGTACAATTGTTAGATCATCTTGGTGGATAGTCCCTTTAAGAATGATGTAGTGTCCTTCTGTATCTCTGACTACAGTGTTTAGTTTAAAACCTAATTTGACTGCTATGAGAATCGCTACCCCGGCCTTCTTTTGAGGCCCATTGGCATGAAAGATGGTTCTCCATCCCTTCACTTTCAGTCTGGGTGTATCTTTAGGTTCAAAATGTGTCTCTTGTAGACAACATATGGATGGGTCCTGTCGTTTTATCCAATCTGTAACTCTGTGCCATTTTATGGGGGCATTTAGGCCATTCACATTAAGAGTGATTATTGATAGATACGTTTTTATTGACATCGGGTTATCTTTGAAGTCTTTCTTTCTGTAGATTGTCTCTATATTTCAGTTCAATGGTATTCTTAGGATTTTTCCTCTTTTATAGAACCCCCCTTAATATTTCCTGCAGTCTTGGCTTGGTGGTTGCATAGTCTTTTAAGTCTTGCTGGTCTTGGAAGCACTTTATCTCTCCATCCATTTTGAATGTCAGTCTTGCTGGACTAAGTATTCTTGGCTGCATGTTCTTCTCATTTAGTGCCCTGAATATATCTTGCCAGCCCTTTCTGGCTTGCCAGGTCTCTGTGGACAGGTCTGACGTTATTCTGATGGGCTTTCCTCTGTAAGTAAGGAGCCTCTTTGTCCTAGTGGCTTTCAAGAGATTATACCTACAATTATGATTCCCCAATTTGACTATCAGGTGCCTTGATGTTTTTCTGGAATCTATAATCTTGGGTGGAGACCGTTTGGTCTCTAGTACATGAACGCTGGTTCCATTCGTGAGATTAGGAAAATTTTCATGAAGAACTTGTTCCACTATATCTTCTAGACTTCTTTCTTTCTCCTCCCCTTCAGGGATTGCAATAATTCTGACGTTGGAACGTTTCATGGCATCATTTATTTCCCTGATTCTGTTTTCGTGGCTTCTAAGCTGTTTGTTCCAGGCTTCCTCCTGATCCTTTCTCTCTATCTGTTTGTCCTCCTGATCACTAATTCTATCTTTTGTCTCAGTTACTCTAGCTTTGAGAGAATTTAGATTAGATTGGAACTCATTGAGAGCATTGTGAACCTCATGCCTGGTAGCTTTCAGCTCAGCCCTAACATTTTGAACATCAACTCTGGTCGCTTTCAGTTCAGCCCTAATCAATTCCATTTGGTCATACATGGCTTTTTCCAACCTAGTTATTGCCTGGATAATTGTTAGCCTGAATTCTCTTCCTGACATATTGTCTATGTTGATCACCATTAGCTCTGTTGCAGAAGGCCCATCCTCTGTATTTTTTTTTCTGTTGGGCATTCCTCCTCCTAGTAATTTTGGTAAGAGATGGCTAAATTCATCTAGCTGGATATATTGACCGTGGTGCAGTCAAGGTGCACCCTGGAACGCTTCTGAGCAATCAGGATTCCCCACACAAACGAGGGAAAAAAAGAAAAGAAAAAGAAAGAAAGAGAGAGAAAGAGACAGGAAAGAAAGGGAAGATAAAAGAGAAGATTCAGCCCAAATGGGCCCCAAGATAAGGTTTATGAAGTATACAAACAAAAACAGAAAAACAAAATACAGATAAAAGTATATGACAAGAGAAAAAAAATAAGTATATATATAAGCAAATAAAGGAAGAACCTCATCAAAAAGAACTCCAAGTGTAAGATTTATATACTATAAGGACAAACACAAAAACAGAGAAACACTGGTGGAAGAAAAAGATGGGAGAGTGGTTATAAATTCTCAGTGTGGGCTAGGAAGTTTGTTTTGATTCTTCCTGGATGTATCTTGATATCTTTGTTAAAGGACTCAACTTTCCTAGGCTAGAGGGGGATTAAAAATTGGTTTACCTATAGGGGTAGCATTGATTGGGGAAAGGGGAAGTTTAACTCTATATGAATATTAGAAAATAAAAGGAAAAAAGGAAAAGAGACTAAACTAAACTAATATTAAAAAAAAGAAATTTAAAAAAATAGAAATGCAAAAGAAAAACACAAGTGTATGTATCAAAAAGTTCAGGTTAGACGGTTATTATGGAATTTGATGTACTGGACATCTCACTGTGATGGTAAATAGGTTAAAAAATTATCTATATAAAAAAAAATGAGCCAGGATAGTGGGAACGAATTAAAAATAAAAGTTGTCCTACGAAATAGTGGTGGTTGTTCTTTTTTTTTTTTTTTTTCCTGTTTGGTTTTCTGGTGGAGGGGCCTGCCATGTGGGTTTTCAGTCAATGATATTCTCTGAGTTAAGTCCTCCCGCCCCCCTCAAGGGGGTGTGCTCTGAGAAAACTGTTTTTTCAGACTTTTGTTCTCTGGAGGTTTTTATGTTTGTTCACTTTTTTTTTTTTTTTCTTTCTTGCCTTGACCGCTTTTGATGGTTTTTGTAGGTTTAGAGGAGAGCAAACTACACCCTGACCTCCCTCTTAGAGAAAAGCCTCAGTCTGGCTGCAGAGCCCAAATAAATTTCCCCTTGGCTGCTGACAGAGCAGGTTCTAAGTTGTGGTCCCTGGGGACACAGGATTTTTTGCTTGTACCCAAAACCACAGCAGTGGCAGCTGTCTGGGCAGCTGCAGACCGCCAGAGAGGTTCCAAGCAGGGATTGCACGCTGAGATTTTCCCACTGGTCCGGGCTGGGAGTGCCTGGTCTTTCTGGGTCTGAGAGCACCGGGCTGGTGCCTGTGTGCACCTCTCTCAGGGGAGGGCGCGGGGCACGACTAGGACTCTGATAGCAGGGCACAGCACTTGCGTGGGGACTGCAAAAAGGCTGTGCTTCCGCCGGCTGGCCAGGCTCCCAACCCCTCAAGGGAGCCGGACCCCACACGCTCTCAGGCGCGCTGGTGGCTCAGGGACCAAGACCTGGTTTCTCAGCTGCACTCTCTCTGGCTCTGTGCCATGGGTGGCTGTCCTAGTTCTGGGGACTTAAGCCCCTGTCCCTAGCCATCCAGATTCCCACAATTCCACACACACCCCATGATCCTTTGCTCTTTTTGAGTGCTTTCTACCAGACTCCAAGTTAATGCTGGTCCCCAGAAGCAGGGCACTTTCATGTTGGGATATTACTTTCCAGTGGGTCACGTCTGGTGGCTCCCTCCCCCTTTTGTTTATCTTCTGATATCAGTCCGAAGTTCCCACTCTGCTTTACCTTCCCACTGGTGTCTTCTGCTCCTGTAGAGATCCAGACATGTATAATTCTGATCTCAGGCTGATTTCGTGGGTGATCGGAGTTCTTTGGAAAGTAACCAGCTCACTTTAGGGTACAGGTTGAAAGGATGCCTCCTCCTACTTCCCCGCCATCTTGTCTCCCCCCAAGAATTAGAAAATTTTAAAAAATAATTACTTGGAACCACAAATAATTAAAAGAAATATAGTAATAGACACATAAAAAAGCATTCTGGCATCTGAGAATTTTTTTCTCAAATTATGACATGTAGTTCTCCATACTTTCCAATGATTACTGTAATAGCCATGAATTTCTATTTCAGCTGAATACTTTGATATATTTTCCTTCTTAAAACTGTAACTCATTTCTTCTTCAACAACACAGTCATTTCAGTAACTACCTTAAATAAATCAGCAACTATTCCATAATCGGCCACTTGAAAAATTGGGGCTTCTGGGTCTTTGTTAATAGCCACAATTGTCTTGCTGTCTTTCATCCCAACTAAATGTTGGATGGCTCCAGATAGTCCTACAGCAATATAAAGCTCTGGTGCTACTATTTTCCCCATCTGTCCAACTTGCATGTCATTGGGAACAAAGCCAGCATCAACAGCACCATGAGAAGCACCAACTGCAGCATGTAGTTGATCTGCCAAATCATACAACTTAAAGTTCTCTCCGCTCTTCAAACCCCAACCACCAGATACTACCACTTTGGTACCAGTTAGCTCTGGTCGTTCACTTTTGGTTAATTTCTGGTCAAGCCACTCTGCTATCCCCACTGGGGAAGGACTTGATGCCTTTTCTGAACTGGCACTACCTCCACTTGTTGCTGCAGCTTCAAAAGACGTTCCTCTGACAGAAAATACCTTCACTTTCTCATCACACTTCACTGTACATAAAGCATTCCCTGCATCAATAGTTCTCACAAATGTGTCAGGAGACTTGATTGCAATGATGTCAGAAATTTGGGCAACATCAAGTTTGGCTGCTATCCTGGGCAAAAGGTTTTTTCCAAAGACAGATGCTCCTGCCCAGATGTGTTTGTAATTGAACTGCTTCAGAGTTGCCAGAATCAATGGCTTCAGCTCTTCGGGAAGGAAGCCTTTGTATGTATCAAGCTGAGCCACCAGAACTTTTGCTACACCTGCTACTTTGCAGAGATCTTGTAACACCTTGTTGATGAGGGAGCAGGAGGCTGGCTGAAGACAAAGCAAAAGCTGGCACCTTGCACCCCCTCTGCATCTGCTCCCCCTCAGTAATATGTGTAGCATTCCTCAGGCACCCCTGACCGCCATAAGAAACAAATAGTTAACTTGCAGAGATCACAATCCTGCAAGACAGAGTCTCCCTTGCTTTACAAATGTTCTAGAGATCTACAAAGAAGTTACCTTATTAATAGCACAATTTCCAGAGGCAAATAACTCAGTTCCTCAAGCCCTAAAGTTAAATTTCTTCTAAACCCAAATCTCACTAACAACGATGCTTGATAGCAGAAATGTGAATGGCTTGCCAAAGGACTACACTGATCAAGCCACAAGGCCTCCGGTATCCAGGCACCTTGTAGGCCCTCTTTAGCATATGAAAGTTCTGTTGAAACCTCCCTTCCCCTCACTATCCCCCAACCGCAAGGTACATAACATGCCATCTCTCACAACCCTGGGCAGCAGCTCTTCCTGCCCACGGGTCCTGTTCCCGTGCTTTAATAAACCACCATTTTGCACCAAAGATGTCTCAAGAATTCTTTCTTGGTCATTGGCTCCGGACCTCAGCCCACCGAACCTCACCTAGGTTCTAGAACTTCATCATTGTCACATTTGGTTCCAGCTACTAAGCAAGACACTTCACCTCCAACACGTTTGGCTACAGTAACGGTATCTAATGTAATGGGTGCTAGGGTATCATTTGCATGCTCTGCTATTACCAGGGTACTTTGAAATTGTAGCAATGAGGCCGCCCGCCAGAGTTGCCCTGGAGCTGCAGCTCGGAACATGGTCTCTGCTCCCATCCGCCTCGCAGCAGCATCAGTCTTCCAGCAACCTGTGGCCGAGTGCAGCTGGGTCGCTTCTGCGAGTCACTATAACTAAGTGTCTGATTCTTGATTTTAGCTCAGGTCATGATCTCAGGATTGTGGGATTAAACCCCAAGTCAACTGGGTATTTACCCCAAAGATACAGATGCAGTGAAAAGAAGGGCCATCTGTACCCTGATGGTTATAGCAGCAATGGCCACGGTTGCCAAACTGTGGAAAGAACCAAGATTCCCTTCAATGGACGAATGGATAAGGAAGATGTGATCCATATACACTATGGAGTATTATGCCTCCATCAGAAAGGATGAATACCCAACTTTTGTAGCAACATGGACGGGACTGGAAGAGATTATGCTGAGTGAAATAAGCCAAGCAGAGAGAGTCAATTATCATATGGTTTCACTTATTCGTGGAGCATAACAAATAGCATGGAAGACAAGGGGAGTTAGAGAGGAGAAGGGAGTTGAGGGAAATTGGAAGGGGAGGTGAACCATGAGAGACTATGGACTCTGAAAAACAACCTGAGGATTTTGAAGGGGGGGGTTGGGAGGTTGGGGGAACCAGGTGGTGCATATTGGAGAGGGCACGGATTTCATGGAGCACTGGGTGTGGTGCAAAAACAATGAATACTGTTACATTGAAAATAAATTTAAAAAATAAAAAAAAAAAAAGTCAGACTCTGTACTCAGCACCAAGCCTCCTTAAAATGCTCTCCCTCTCCCTCTGCCCAACTCCCCCCACTTGCACTCATTCTTCCTAAAAATAAATAAATACAAGAATGAATTAATAATATTAAATAAAATTAAATAGGAAAGCAAGGGAAACAAATAGACAAACAATAAAATTTGCAGGCTCACACCCTATTTTTACTCTATTCTAAGACTTTTTAAAAATTTCCATTTAGGGACATTGTGGTACTGAGTAAAGGATAGGTTAACATAACAATAGAAGAGAATACAGAGTGCAAAAATTGACCTAAATATGATCAGATAATCTTTGACAACTTTCTAAAGCAAGTCAATGCAGAAAGATATTTCTTTTCAAAAATGGTGCAGGAACATGTGGGTGCCAATATGGGACAGGGTGGTCAGAAAGGGAATGAATAAATCAGCCTACTGACAGGAGAAAAGTGGTCAATACAATGGGAACTGATGGCAGATCTCCCCTCAGTGGTTTGCCTACCTTCCTTTCCCCATATATATTCCATGGAGAGAATGTATATGATGACAAATTTCTCTGACCCCAGTTAAAATACCTATATATGCCTCCTAATAATTCTAGTCTTTCCATGGAACACTTTCCCTGTACTTTACTTCTTTTATGTAAATATTAAATTTCCTTAGGACTTTGTATCCCTATAAGATCCTTCAACAAGTGAATCAATCCCCATTCTGAAGGTAAAGGGAAATACTTTTGAGTGATTTGCCAAAGGTTGTACAGCTAGAAAGTAGCACAAGGAATTTCACTGCTCACCCTCAGACAAACATCCCCCTGTCCACATGACATCCACACTCTGGGCTCAAACAGAAACCTCAAGTCTTACAGTTCTGTTTCTGAGTTTTGATTCTCTACTCCTCTGCTTCACTCTTACCCACAGAGCTACTTTTTCAGAAAACTTCTCCATCTCTTTGAATGGCACCTTTCTTCACACAGTTGCTCAGGACACCAGGACATGATTCTTGAATCATCCCTCTGATACCTTCCTCCAGCTCATGAACAAGGCTGGCAGGTCTCTCTTCAAAATACATCCTGAATCCAGTCTCCTCTCACACTCTGTCTCTTTCTTTCTTGCCCAGTCTTCTGCCATTTCTCATAAAAACAATTCAATAAGCACCTTTAGGTACTGCAGCCCTACCCAATTGGCCACCATGATCATCCATCTGCCAAACTCCTTCCAAAGCATAAATCAGGTCATGCCCTTCCTTCAGTGTTTTCCATCATAGAATGAATTCTAAATCAAGTACCATGCCCTCTCGTGTCCTACATCACCTGATACCTGATTACTTCTAAGCCATCCTTTCCTACCTCTCTGCCATTGTGCACACTACTGCACTCCAGGGACCCACCATCCAATCAGTGGACATGAGAAGTGCCTTCAATTTTTCATGGCCTTAGCATTTGCTGCTCCCTTCACTTGAGACATTCTTTGTACCCTACATATATGCACATTGTGTATGTCTGCTCTGTTGCCAGGTCTTCAGAGAGGTCTTTCCTGACCACCAACTTAAAATATCCTCCCTTTCTACATCAAGTTCTATTTTCTTCTTCACATCACCAGCACCACTTGACACTATATCACCCTTTACTTTCTCCACTATTTCCTGTATTCCTTCCCATGAAGTAAAGCTCAATCTGGGGAGGGACTTGATCCTTTTATTCCCTGCTATACCCCTAGTGCTCATTTTCAAAGTACTCACACAATGGCTGAGGGCTGATGAAGGAGACCTAGATCTTCACATGTTGTGACTATTCAATTAATGTTGAATGAACAAGTACAAAAGTTAATGAGTGAAGAGGACTGGTACCTTAGCCAAAACCCTTGGACATAATCACCTCATTATACTGGCTCTTGGTAAGCTTTCTGTTCTTCATTGTGTAGAGTAGCAACACCTTTTAGCTTTTCTCAGATTAGCACACCACTGTCTTATTTTTTGTTTTGTTTTGTTTTGTTTGATTTATAAATTGTTATTGTTCTGAAGGAAATGTATACCTGAAGTCAATGTATTAGGAACAGTGTGATCAAGACAGGGCTCATATATAGATTGGGGTGTAACAGGGGCTTTGGTTCAGGCATCCAAACAAACAACTGGGAAGAACAAGTGATAAAAATAGATTGTGGAGTGGTGCCTGGGTGGCTCAGTAGGTTAAGCATCTGCCTTCAGCTCAGGTAATGATCCTGGGGTCCTGGGATGGAGCCCTCTGTTGGTTTCCCTGCTCAGTGGAGAGTCCAGACCAGAGTCTGCTTCTCCCTCTGCCTTGGCCCCTCCCTACCCTTCTTCTCTCTCAATGAATGGATAAACCTTCAAAAAAAAAAAAAATACATTGTGGAGCCCAATCCCACTATTTGTATTACTCAACTCTGCGACTTTGGACAAATGATTTAACAATCGGTGCTGCATTTGAAAAAAGGGTGTTATAGGGACATCTGAGTGACTCATTCAGTTAAGGATCTGTCATAGTCAGCTAAAGGCATGATCCCAAGGTCCTGTGATTCAGCCCCATGTAAAGCTCCCAGCTTCTCCCTCTCCCCCTTCCCACCCCTGCTCATGCTCTATTTTTTCATTCTGCTCTCTCTCTCTCTCAAATAAATAAAAGAAATATTTTTTTTTAAAAAAAGGAAAAAGAAAAAAAGGGGTGATAAAAGTGTCACACCTCAGCATGTTTAGGAGATTCAAAATGATAACATTGGCCTGACCCACAATTAGATTACAATAAAGTTCTCTGTCTTTATAATTATGCAGGAGAAGAAGACCCTCAACACAGATCTCTAAAATTTACCTCCCCTTTTCCTGCTGATGACTCCTATGAAATGCTTTCATTTGTCCCTTTCAATGTTGACCTTGGACTGGGAGCTGGAGTTTTCACATCACCTGTTCCAAAGTTGTCTATTTCAGAGAGCTGATATGTCTTTTCAACTGGACAGAATTTAGAACAAAGACTGCTTTACCACTGACCTTGTTTATAAGAAGACTGCAAGATGCCTCCAGACTGGAGTACCAAGGAACAGGGTGAGGCATTTCACTTTCTCACCACCAACAGCTCACTGGTGGTCCAGGACACCACCCACAAATTCGGGTCCTGAAAAGGATTTCTGTGTTTAAGTGAAGGTCACATGGGAAAAAAATGTTAAAGCACAGTAAGAAGATAGTGAGAGTTGCTAAGTGACAGGGCTTTCCCCAGATCCCTAGAGTGATGCCCAACTATCAGAGCACCTCCTGTAAGAGCTTAGGAAGCCCCAACAGATGGAGACCATCTGACTGTTGAAGGCTGACCAGATAAAGACTCCAAATCTCTTCAGATCATTGGTTGGTTGGACTCACAGTTTTTAGTTTACAGATACCATACAACTCTATTTTCTCCCCCCAGACCCTAACACTTATCTCCCCTTTAACAGCCCCCTCCTTTCACACTTTGCACTACCCAGGAAATCCTTTAGGCCTTTGAATGCCAGCTAAGCATATGATGACTCTTAGTCACTCTGGGTCAAGGCTGATAAAACCAAAGCACTAAACCTTATTCCCCTACTTCTTCCTTCTCCTGAGTTCTTCCTTTCCAATAGGGAAAGGTTCTTTTGCCTGTCTCATCTGGAAACAAGGAAATTTTGAAACAGAATCCACAGATATAAGTATTTGATAACTCATATTTTATTGGAAGTGTCTTCCCAAAGGGACCCATACAAAACCCTTTGCCATTTGGATTTATTTTTTGCTGTCTTTTGTTTGTTTGTTTGCTGTATTTTCTGTGTTAATGAAGGGTCACTGAATTGGAAAGAAAAGGCCCAGGGATTGTGAAAAGATCATGACTTCCCGAGGGAGGAGGAAGTTTGTGTAAGTCCCAGTGCTGACTACATCTGATTGATGAGATGGAAAATAAAGAGGATTAGCTTAGTGTCCATGCTCTTTTTAAGGATGGATGGTATCTGATGGAAAGAAGCCCAGATATATGGATCCTGAAAGTGTACATTCTACATTTTCAATATGCATTGAAAATCCAAGGAACAAAAATTTTTAAATGCAATGTGGCCATAGAGGATGGTCAAGAACTCCTTTCCTTTGAACATTTCACACATCTTTTATACAATAAGTAGCAGCACAAACAAAAACTCACATTCTCTGTTATTGCCTCCCTTCTACCCTCCAGGAGTCATCTCCTGAAAAGTTGAGGTGCAAGGAATACTCAGGGGATAGTGGCCAGTAGTACTTTCTCATATATCTCTGTGTCCTTCACTTTCTAGGGAGAGC